GCCGCAACTCCATACGAGCTGCGGCAGCGGCAGCGTAGGACACCCCACGATGAGCTGTGGGAGACAATGCCGGCGGCGCTCGCGAAGGAAGCGTCTGGAAGTGGTCGCGCTCGACGGAAGAAGCCCGGGAGCTGGCGCCGGAGCTGGTGACAGAGCTGGTGCCGGAGCTGGGTGCCTCGCCGTCCCGGAGCAGCCGCTGACGACGACCCGTGAAGGTCTCGAGTTCGCACCGGTGACGAGCTCCGTCTTCCTTGACGGTAGCGGTGGCCCGTGGTCAGCGAAGCATGCTTCGCGTGCAAGGCCGCAATGGCGGCCTCGGTGTCGTGCAGGTCTAGACTGACGCTCTCGTTGCTGGCGAGCGGGGTCTTGATACCGTCCTCTTCCTCCCGGTCCGCTTCGTCCTCGAGTTGGTAACCCCAGGCCAAGCGATCAGCCCGGACCCGGTCCACCGCGGCGCAGGTGGCCGCCTCAGCCTCAGAGGAAGACAGTAACGCTTGTGCCTCCCGAGGGAGGGCATGCCAGCGGGCGCCGAGGTGTTCGAAGAGCTGCGGGCACACTACAGGGGTTGCTGCAGCAGGCGTAGACGCCGTGGTAGCAGGCGTAGGTGGAGCAGCAGCAGCAGATGCAGACGCTGCAGCAGCGAGGGCGGCAGCAGCGGTCGCGGAAGCGGCCATTTGGGTACGGGTGCCGCGGGGCGCTCGGCCCGACGACGGCGCTCAGGATCCTTGGTGACCTCCCGCAAGGCCGGCGAAGAGAGCGCCGCCGTTTCCGTCTCCTCCGCCGGAGCACTACGAGGAGGTCCCGCAGGGGGCGTGGAGTCGGAGGAAGCCGTCGGAGCTGGAGTCACCATGGCCTGAATCGTTCTGAGCGGGTCCGCGTTGCGAGCTTCGGCGAGGCGAACTTGTTCAAGAGCAGCAGCAGAGGTAGCAGCACGTTCGCGGGCGGAAAGCATGGGGGGCGAAGCGGGCACCGATTGAGCAGAATCTACAGCGCGTGCATTGCGAGCATTGTGGCGATTATCACGAGCAATCTCCTGCTCTCTGTTACTCCTAGATTTATTTCTGTGAGAGTCGAAGGCTTGGGTCGCGGGCATGTAACATCAGCAGCATTCACAAACCCAGCGCTCATGCTGCTTCCCCGAACAGAGACCAGCTGTTGCGCTTCAATGTTAATAGCAGGCGTATCACTTCGCAAACCTCTAGAGGTGACGGCGGTCCTTAGTGCGACTGAACACACATCAGGACAAGTACTAGAGCCACTAGGGACAGACGAATCGCGAGACATACTGTCATACAGTACGAGAAGCAGGTGAACAGCGGATGCGGCGGAATTGTTGTGTCAACGTCAGAAAAAATTGACAGTCCCGCCACCCGATGCAGGTGAAACGCGAAACGCGAGGCATTGTCACATTGTCACGCGAAATGGGGGCATTTCCTAAGTGCGACCGAACGCACAGGGGAGGCTCCTAGTGCGACTGAACGCACATCGGAAGGTGGAGAGGGGACTCCTATTGCGACCGAACGCACATGAGACGGGTGGGTGGCTACTCGTGCAGTGGCCGTTGCATCATCACCAAGAACATTATCAAAACGGAGACGGAGACGTTCCGGTGGGGGTATGAACGGCATCAGCAGAACCAGTGGATGCAAGAGAGGGGGCAGCCGGTTTGCCCACATGCATCCTACGCTGGGCGACAGCCGCACGAGCACGCTCATCCTCGCCAGAAAGGCGAGCACGTCTGTCCTCAGCACGAAGCTCTGGCAGACGCGTGGCCTCCTCTTGTGGATCAGCGGCGCGCACGCCATCAACATAAGGTGTAGTCTACAGCAGTACACAAGACAGCAAGATCATCATGCGATGGATTGCGCGACGCCGTTGGCGAGCCAGGTGGTGGGGCAGGAACCGACTGCTGGGAACTGGCAGAGATGTTGTCGGACTCGATAGCCTCGCTACCGTCCATACGATGAGACATATCGAGAAAGGAAAAGAAGCAACCAAGACCGCGCGTTCTCAACCAGCGAAAGCAAACAAATGAGTTGCTCCCACGCTGACTAGACAAAGAACAGCAACAAGAAGAGGCTAGGGAAAGCTAAAGTATTTACTGCCGACACGCCAAATGTTGTGGGATTACACGCGTAGCGATCTCTCAAGACCTTAATCTCTTGGAACACCAGTGCTTGCTGTTGCCTTGCTCTCAAAGGTAGACTGAACACAGCGGGGGAGGGAGGACATGATTTCTCTCTAAATAAAAGGGGCCACAAAAGTCCTGTCCCCTGTTATATCATTGCATCGGGAGTTACATCTCCCGCACTTTCCTCAGGGAATTACTCCGCAATGCCGTTGACACTTGGGCTTGCTACAATTCAATTCCCATTTTTGTGGAGACAACAACATAACACGACTTTGTGTGAGAGATTCGATTTTTTGCCGACATTGAATTTCGAGAAGCCAAAAAGAGCGATCAAGACAGAAAGTAAAGATAGAAGGCGAACGATCAAGAGGACCAAAACAGCAGCATTGTATTGTCGCACGCTTCTGGCGCAACATGCAACTTCTTTGCTCGTCGACTCACCGCATGCGCTTTCTTCGTCGTACTATGGATAATACTGGCACCATGTCGCGTCGGAAACTTACAGTACTAGGCCCCCACACACTTTCACTTACTATAACCTACCAAGGGGACGTTGTTTGACGACGTTGTTGTTGTTCGAGAAGCTAAAAAGAGCGATCAAGACAAGAAGATAGAGGTGTACCAGTCAAGAAGATCGAAACAGGGCGCATCGTTACACACTTCTGGCGCAATATGTCGCGAGACGTGCGCCATAGGTCGGGATCGGCCTTTGAGACACGGTCGGGCAAGGGTGGGACAATCGGAACAAAATGAATTTAGATCGGAGAGACAAAAAAGCTTAAAGATTCAGAGAAAGGAAGGGTCGTCTCAGGAGAGAACTCCCGAAAATGTGTCACGCCCAGGAATAACTAATCATTGGAGACGGAAGTAAAGAAGCGTGCTCTCGCATGATGCACCTCGTTTTGTTTGAAAGTGCAAGGATCAGAGTTGCAAAGATCGACAGAGAGATGTGGCAAAAGACGCTGGGCTCGGCCGAAAGTGTATGCCGTGGGGCGTTTTGTTAGGAGCAGTCGCTTCTCCCCAAAATGCCGAGCTTTTGGGAGAGGCACATTCAGCCTACACTTCCTTCCGTTGATGCAACTTTCGTTCGAACCGAACCAACGAAGAGGATGAGGGATAGTGTCTACATGTTAAGTGTGTGTGTTTTTATCGTCCCAGTCATATTTCGGACGTCTTCGTACTTGTAGTCCGTATTCTGGACGTGGTACACAGCAGACCTGGACGTGCGTACCCCGCGGTCCTTGTTGGTATTTTCCCGTAGTGTCTAGACGCATCAGCCGGGTATGAAACCATCAACTATTGTTGTCTATGGGTGTGTGCTTGCACATCCGGCCAGTGAGAGGAAACAATGGAGCCTGGTCAAGGCAACGAGCACCCGTACGGAGGTGAGAACGTCGAACAGAGTTCCCGCGCAGGTCGACTCGGGCAACGGTAACATTCCGGGCAGGTAGGCTGCGTCTTGCACTGTACAAAGCCGGGAGAGAAGCAGGCATACCAGCCAGCCATTTCCTGGGTCGAAAGTCTGCCGCTGCCCGTTCTCACCGTACGCAAAGGACCACACTGAATCAGTTCAGAGGAATGGTGCGAGGCTGTGTGCCTCGGTGGGGATAACACGCCGAACCATCCCTCAAACAATTGTAGCCCGGCCAGCCGACTGAGTCGCCAGATCATTTCCATTTATATTCACATCCCATCGAAACACACTGAGCCGACCCGACACTTTCCCAGCATAGAGTCATTCACAGGCAAGCCCTCGAACCAGCAGCAGCAGCAGCAGCAGCAGCAGCAGCAGCAGCAGCAGCAAAGGAGACCGCCGTGCGGAATACCCTCCATGACGACACCGCCCCCTTGAATGTCAAGGTACGGTAACGATCGGAGCTATAGCTGCTTCTGTCGCTGCGGTTGCAAGGCAAGACACCCCACGCCCACTCTCGTACACCGGTCTCAATCTGCTGTCCGCCCAATACCGGGATCTCGCCATCCTCCTCAAGAGTGTATACCATCATCGCTGCTCCAGGAGCTCCCCGGAGTACCAGTTTAGGTGCGCTCTCAGCTGAAAGGACGGTGGGATAAGCAGAAGCAGCAGCGAGGGTTGTCAGGTGTTCATGATCGTCCACGTCGTCGTCTTTCGACCAGGGGTGTGTTGCCAACGTACCGGGGAGAATTAACAGAGGAGTGCAAACGGCACAGAGCGGAGGCAGAGCCATGTCCGCGGTGAGAACGATACGGCCGGTACTCCCCGGCAAACTGGCACGTGTCTCCAGATAAGACGGCCACCAAACACCACGAAGTGCGGGTTTGGTGCCGCTACAGTATTTCACGGGAACCAAGCATTCCCCGTTGAATTCAAAGCGAGGTGGACGTGCTACATGGTCCAGTCTACCTACTTATTCAGACGGACATGTTCGTCCTGCGTCCCTTGCGGCTTGGGTGGTATTACGTTGGCGCTTCCACCGCCGTGAGATTATCTCGCGGACCCAAGCGCGAACGATCGCACCACCAGCAGTGTCGACTGCCTACGGTTACACCCTACAACACCAACAAGGCCTACCCCACTACAAGGGTGACTTAGAGAGAAAGGCATAAGGTGCCCGCAGTGTTCCTATTGGTCAATATTGGCGCCGCCGATCTCTGATTGGCCGTTTTTCCTTGGGCGGCGAGCATCCTATCAAACAACGTTTCGGAGGCGATCGACCGAATAGCCTCATCCATCAGCAGAGTTCAACTGCGTGTGTCTTTACCTCCTTCGCGCGCGCTCTCTCTCTCTGCCCCCCCCCCA